AACAAAAACAGGGGTGCCTGGGTGGCTCAGTCAGTTGAGCATCCGACTTCGACTCAGGTCATGATCTCACAGTCTGTGAGTTCGAGCCCCACATCGGGCTCTGTGCTGACAGCTCAGAGCCCGGAGCCTGTTTCAAATTCTGTGTCTCCCTCTCTCTCTGACCCTCCCCCATTCATGCTCTGTCTCTCTCTGTCTCAAAAATAAATAAACGTTAAAAAAAAAATTAAAAAACAAAACAAAAACAAACAAGACATATACACACAAATATCCAGGGCAATAAAAAAATATTTTAAACCAAAAACTAAGAAGAAATTAAGATATAATAAAATGGAAAGGGAGATACAACTCCATACATTGTAAAGATTAAAAGAAAGGATTTTTTTTTTTTTTTTTTTTTTTTTTTTAAAGAAAGGCAGACTGCCACATGCAGCACCTCATTCAGATGTGTCTGGAGTCTTAGAAGCTTGACTACCATATGTTCTCCTACAAATGGAGCTTGAGAGCCTGTTTGGAGGCTCTAGCAGTGGAGTGCGGCCATTCCTACACCCTTGACAAAACGGTGTCTGGGAAGATCATCCTCTTCAACCCAGTGTGCAGCCTCAGGAAATGCACATGGAGCATTGAGGGAGGATGGGGAGATGGGCCTAGCCAGCTAGATCAGCCAAATCAGCCCTGGTGATCAATAGGGTGACAGATGTTGCAGCCAGATTGCCTTCCCATCCAAAAGAGAGGATATTTTTGAGACATTTAGAAATCTGTACGCTGGGGCACCCGGGTGGCTCAGTCGGTTTAGCATTCGACTCTTGATCTTGGCAGGTCATGATCTCATGGTTTGTGGGATCGAGCCCCATGTTATTAGCACAGAGCCTGCTTGGGATTCCCTCTCCCTCTCTCTCTGCCCCTCCCCTGCCTGCATGTACTCACCCTTTCTCTCTCTCTCTCTCTCTCTCTCTCTCTCATAAATAAACTTAAAAAAAAAAAAAAAGAAAGAAACTTGAATGCCAACAGGATATTTGATGAAGAAATCATTTTTAACTTTTTTGATGTGATAATGGTAGTGTAATTAAAAATAAAATCTTAAGTGGGGCATCTGGGTGGCTCACTTAGCTGAGCATCCAACTTCGGCTCAGGTCATGATCTCACAGTCTGTGAGTTCAAGCTCTGTGTCAGGCTCTGTGCTGAAAGCTCAGAGCTTGGAGCCTGCTTTGGATTCTGTGTCTCCCTCTCTCTCTGCCCCTCCCCTGCTCACGCTCTGTCTCTCCCTCTCTCTCAAAAATAAATAAGCATTAAAAAAAATTAAAAAAGAAAATAAATTCTTAAAACAAATAAAAATAAAAAAATAAAAATAAAATATTTATTTTTTAGAGATACATACTGAAAAAATTTTTAATTCCGCTATACTTAAAATACAGTGCTGATTAAAGTGCACAATATAGTGATTCAATTCTATATATTACTCAGTGCTCATGATAAGTATACTCTTAATTTATCCTCCTCACCTATTTCACCCATCCCCCCCACCTCCCTACATACTGAAATTTTTATAGATAAAAGTATATGATGCCTAGATTTTGCTCCAAAATAATATTAAGAAGAGACATGACTAGGGTGTGAAAAAAGCATAACTGGCAATGTGTTAATGGCTGTTAGGGCTTAAATGATGGGGGTCATTATACTATCTTATCTATTTTCATACATGTTCAAAATTCTCCAACATAAAATGTTTATTAATTTATTTATTAATTAATGTTTACTTATCTATTTTGAAGGAGAGAAAGAGAGTGCAAACAGGAGAGGGGCAGAGAGAGAGAAAATCCCAAGCAGGCTCTGTGCTATCAGTGTAGAGCCAGACCCGGAGCTTGATCCAACAAACCACGAGATCATGAAAAGCTGAAATCAAGAGACCTGAGCTGAACTCGAGTCAGATGCTGAACTGACTGAGCCACCAAGACACCCTAAAATGTTTTTTAAAAGTAAGTGGTATAAGACAATTAAGAAATAAAAATCCACTGTATTCTCCTCCAAAAATAATAAATAAATAAATAAATAAATAAATAAATAAATAAATAAATAAAAGGGTATTATGTACAGCTCTATGCCAATAAATCTGAAAATCTAGGGATAATATCCAGAAAAATTATCAAAAGTTGACAGGAAAAACCAGAAAACTTACCCCAAAGAAAACACCAGGTGATTTTGCAGGCATGATAAGGCACAATAAATTAAACCTTATATATACTATTCCAGAGTATAGAAAAAGAGGAAACACTCTTCTGTACATTTTACGAAGCTAGCATATCCTTAGGGGCGCCTATGTGACTCAGTTGAGCATCCGACTCTTGGTTTTGGCTCAAGTTATTATTAGGATGTCCCTGGAACCACAGTGGAAGGGACAGCCATCTCGCCAGTGCAACCCAACGGAAAGCCCCAAGCGGCGCGCCAGAACGAACTGAAGGTCAACCAATCATCGAGCGCCAGCACAACCCAACGGAAAGCCCAAAGCTGTGCGCCAAAACGAATTGGAGGTCAACCAATCACCAAGCGACAGCACAACCTGGCGCGGAAAAAGGCCCACGTGGACCTAAACTGTGAACCGCTGCAGCTTAAAAACCCTACCCCACTACATCCAGCATGACTTCCCTGACTCCTCTCTCTCTCTCTCTCTCTCTCTCTCTCTCTCTCTCTCTCCCTGAGTCACGGAACCTCGCCCGAGACCTTAGTTCCCAATAAAGCCTTTGACTACTAAAATTTCTTAGCCACTGACTCCTGTCTTTACCCTGCCGGAAGCCTGACCCTAACAGTCATGATCTCACGGTTTCCTGGGTTTGAGCCCCACACTGGGCTCGCTGTTATCAGTGCAGTGCAGAGCCTGCCTCAGATCTTCTGTCTCCCTCTCTCTCTGCTCTTCCCCCACTCACATGCACATGCATGCACATATTCTCTCTCTCTCAAAACTAAACATTAAAAAAATTTTTTAACCGAAGACATACAAGAAAATTACAAGCCAACCTCACTCATTTAGACTGATACAACTAAATGGTAAAATAATTAAAAGCACTCATTTTAACATCAGGAAAAAGACAAGGATGAGTTTTAATACCAATTTCATTAATACTGTACTGGAGATTCTGATTAGTGCAATAAGTGTAATAAATAAATTTAAAAGAGACTTGTCAAGGAAAAAAATTATCATCATTCACAGACAGTACGATTTTCAAAGTAGAAGACCGACCCAAAGAAACCTGGAGATAAATAATGAGGATAATCATACAGTTCAACAAATTTGCTGGATATGAAATCAATATGGAAAAGTCAATTTGATAAGGGTACCATAGCTGAGTAAGATATCAACACTAGGGAAAACTGGGTGGAGGATATACAGGAACACTTTACACAGTTTTGTGAATCTAAACTTATTACAAAATAATCTTATTTTAAAAGATTACAAATGATTTTAAAAATTAAGAAGTCTGACAATACTAAGTATTAGAGAAGATGAAGAGCAACAAAAAATTCTTATGTACTGCTGACAGAGTGTACGTTGGAAAACCACTTTGGAAAACACTTTGGCATTATCATGTAAACTGAACATGTCTATACTCTTAGACCCAGAAATTCTACTCCCAAGTATATACTCAGAGAAACTCATATACATATGTATAACAATGTTCATAACAGCAATATTTGTCATAGCAAAAAGGTGAAAATGTCTACTGACAAGATAATAGATAAATAAATTATGTGATATATTTAAACAATGGAATACCAAACACCAGCCAACACATTAACCTAGATCATATATTCTCAGTGTGGATGATTTCGAGGGTTAAAACTGGTTTGGCAAGATGGGGGAATCTTAGGTATTACAATCGCTTGTGGCCCTCCAGAAGGCAACAGTACATAAATACACTTAGATCTATGGTATTAAAATTTCATGGGAAAGGAGGGAGATGATTAGGATACAAATGTCTAAAAAAGCATCCATTGGGGGCTGCGAAAGAAAAAAATAATTCAGAAACAATGACCTAGGACAGTCTCAAGAATGTAACACTGCATGAAAAAAAAAAGCAAGTTTAGAAAAATACATTTAATGTGGTATTATTCACATAAAGTTAAAAATGTACAAAGTAATATATTGTCTAGGTATGTGTGGTATATATAATATACATATATAGGGGCGCCTGGGTGGCACAGTCGGTTAAGCGTCCGACTTCAGCCAGGTCACGATCTCGCGGTCCATGAGTTCGAGCCCCGCGTCGGGCTCTGGGCTGATGGCTCAGAGCCTGGAGCCTGTTTCCGATTCTGTGCCTCCCTCTCTCTCTGCCCCTCCCCCGTTCATGCTCTGTGTCTCTCTGTCCCAAAAATAAATAAACGTTGAAAAAAAAAATTTTTATAATATACATATATACACATATATACATGTATACATTATATATTATATATTATATATACCTCATTATATATATATTATACATACTATACATAATTAATAATATTATATATAATATATTTTATAATATATTATATATACCTCATATATATGTATCCTCATTATATATATATATATATATATACATGGCTAAGGTATAAAAAAACAAATTTCAGAATAGAAGCTATCCTTGTAGAAGCATGCTGGAATCTAGGAGGGGCACATGAAAGGATCCAAACATGTTTGCTGTGTTCTTTTCTTCAAATGAGATGGCAAATACATAGGCGTTCACTTTATTATTCCTCTTAATTATTTATATGTTTTTTTAGTACAAAATGTTTCATAATTAGAACTACTTAAAAGAACTATTTAAAAACACCACCTATCACATTACTCTAAGTAAAATATTAATAGCAAAACTGTATTAATAGTCTTGCTTTGCTATCATCACGCGATCAATATTAAATAATATTAAATGATAATATTGATATTAAACCTATGTTGATAAAAACAAGCACCATGAGTAGCTTAACCTTTTTTTAAAGATAAGAAAACACACAACAGCTCATACCCAGCCACCTTGTTGAATGATGTACTCTGCAGCATAGTCCTCCAGGTATGTCACACCAAACTGCAGCAATGCACTCAGAGGCTCTTGACCACGTCTTGTCAACTCCAAAAGCATTTGTTGTAGCAAAATCAGAGGCACCAAAATCTTCAATGCAAAGATGAGAGAGTAAAAAACAAACAGAAATTCTTATAATTCATTTTATATGTTGACTACTAGAAAATGATACTTGGATGCATCATTATAGAATCTCACTTTTATCACAATAAAGGAATAAAACATTGACCCCCTACTAGAATGTCTGTGAATACTGCATGTAGATTTTTATAACATAGGGTGGTGGAAATTATCATTATATGAAAATAACTGGGCTCCTGTGAATGTGTGTTTTTGTGAAACATGTACAGGAAATTCACTGAAAGTATTATTTATAATAGCAAAAGACTGAAAACAACCCAACAGGGACTGGTTAAATCAATTTTGGTAAAATATTATATAGTTGTTAAAAAGAATTAGATTATTTACTGCCCAATCACCAAGACTTATTTTCAGTGAGAAAAGTTACAGGAGAGTGTGTATAATAATGGTACATTTGTGTTTAAAGCGTGCGCACGCGCACACACACACACACACACACACACACACACACACACACTTGCATAATCCTATAGTATCTCTGGAAAAATATATAAAAAACTGGTAATAGTGGCAGTCTAAGAAAAGAAGGAAGTAACTGGTGATAGGGTAGGAAAATAGTTTTCAGTACGTTTCTCTCTGTACTTATTGCATTTTGTACCATGTTCTTTTATTATCTATTTGAAAATAAAAACTTTCAAAATTATCAGCTATTTTATAAAAAGTCATCAAAAATCTAAGGAGGTATTATTTCATTCCAAATAACCTTATTGCTCAATATTTAAAAACCATCAAATTTATAACAGAGTCGTGCTAGAGTCCCTTGCCTTCCAAAAACAGCTGCACACTGAAAAGAACGAACCATTTTCAATTAACCATCTGCATGCAATCCCTTTAGTCTAAAACATCAAGAAGGCTCCACATTCCTGGAAAAGGAATGCAAAAGGAAATGAAACCAATTCCAGTTCCTTATTACTGAATTGCCAAGGTAATAACTGAGGATTAACAAAATATTTCTGCAGAAGAGGACAAACAGAAAAGACAATGAGTTTATAGCCTTACTAATATTCTTTGGCTTTCAAGTAAAAGTAGTCCTGAGGGAATCTATTTCAAAGACTGAAAGAAAGAATGCAACAAACACATATCTTCCTTTTTTAATATTGTAAAAGAACTCCAGTCCAAAATATACTTAAAAACCCCTTCTTAACACTAATGGAGAGGTATAGGGCTAATAGGGCTATAAAGAATATATATATTAGGCTTTCTTCACAATTAGAAAACATGTCATACTATTAAAAACAAAAAAAAAAACCACCCAAAAACCTATTGTTCATCTAGATCCAGTATTTTGTCTTAGCAGAAGCAGTAAGGTACAGCTTGTTGATCAGTCTGACTTAGATCATATCAACTTCAAAGGCCTGCGATGTTCTGTACCTCAAAACATTCTAAATTCCCCTAATAATCTACAAATATGAAATATTTTAAAGTTATTCATATTTAAGCTCTATTATGTCTTAGGGAAATGAGTTGTAAACACTTTATACTTGCTATATAATACTTATTTTTATTTGTTCCAAATTTATCTTTCATATATCAAAAAGTAGATGCCCTAGTTTTACTATGTAATCGTCTAGAGATAAATCTGTAATCCTCTTTCACTACTGTCTTAATTTCAGTCCTTAATCATATTACCTCTCGTTCACTATACTTTTTAGGCTGAAATTTACTAATCTTTTAGTCTGTTCTTCACATGGCCATTCTTCCATTGCTTTAATCATTTAAGTTATTCCTTCCCAGATCTTCTCCAACCCAATTATATCTTTCTTGCAACTCAGTAACCAGAGTGCAGAAATGTTATTTTACAGAACTAACAAATTCTAATTGTAACACTCTTGGTGATACATGCTCTATTTTACCTATTTGACATACTATCTTCAAGGACCTATGTGGGGACTTCCAAGCCCACTATCTTTTATGTATAATTCAGATGGTCTTAATATAAACTCACTTGCCCTGTAATTTTTGTGATCACACACAAAACTTCATGAGTTATTTCTACAACCCTTTAGTCTATCGTACTATCGGCAATACTTATCACCTTATACCTGATAGTTTTTTTTGCGTTCCCCCTCCCACAGTACTAAAGAAAGTGTTTTAAAAAAAACCTGGATCCCCAAGCATCCATACCTAGAAGGTCTCCACTATTCATATCTCTAGGACTCAAAAGCAACCAAATAGTCTTAGTCTTTGAATTCCTCTCTGTAAATCATTTCCTTGCTAAATGATAGTAATCCCCAAAAACACAGAAGTTATTTTTTCCTCTAATAACTTTGGTAAAGAAATGCTAAAGCAATTTTGACCAACAAAAAGGAATACCTCCATTTACTGTCTCCTCATATGTACTACAGGGCACCTTTCTCCAATAGGTTAGACTTTGCTAACAACATTATCTTTTTATTAAAGAATATATGAGCTTGCCTGGTACAGAAATAAAATATACTAGTTTACAGCGTCAAGGGTCTCTTCCAGGAGAATAGATATTTGTGATTATAAAATACATATTTTGATCCATCAATCTACTATTCAGTAACCATGCTATAACTTAACAATTCTAATAAATGTCATATCCCACAAATTTTATCTGTATCTAATCAATTGATTAGGTTTGAATGTTTGTCCTATCTACCTCAAAATAAAATTTGAGACTACCAGGCATTATGTATCACACAGTGTAATGCAACAGGAAATAGGGAACACGACCAATGAAGTATTCTTGCCAAAAACATTAAACCTAAATATGATTAGGCTTCTAGATCTACCTACCAAGGGAAAGGAAATATAGATACAGAAGAACGTTAAGTGACATCTCAATGTCAATAAAATCCAGAAAGTAGGAAATTTAAGAGAAATAACTTGTAAGTAAAGAAAAACACAAGAGGGAGGATAAGCCTACCTATTAAAAGACACTTAAGTCACATGTTACATGATCACATTTACATGAAATATCCAGAATAGGCAAATTTAAAAAGACAGTAATGTTGCCAGGGGCTGAGAGGAACAGGAAATGGAGAGTGACTACTACTAAGTACTGGGTTTCTTTATGGAAAGATAAAAACGTTCCAGAATCAGATGGTAGAAATGACTGTACAGCTCTGTGAATGTACTAAAAAAATACCACTGAACTATATACTTTAAAATGGTAAATTTTATGGTATGAATTATATCCGAATTTTTTTTTAAAAGTAAAGACAAGAGAATTATCAACCAAATGCAATGCATGGGCCTTGTTTGGATCCCAATTCAAAAAAATTATCTTAGAAAAATACCTTTAAGAGACAAGTGGAAAATTTTGAATACTGAATAGATTATGTGATGACAGAATTACTGTTCATATTTTGAGGTAAAATAGTGGTATTATCAGTTGGTTAAAAAAAGGGATATATCATCCTTAAAATACATATTAACATATTTTTGAAAAAAATGATATTTAGGAGAGGCGTCTAGGAGGCTCAGTCAGTTAAGCATCTGACTCTTGATTTAGGCTCAGGTCATGATCTCATGTGAGTTCAAGCCCCGTGCCAGGCTCTGCACTGACAGCACAGAGCCTGTTTGAGATTCTCTTTCTCCCTCTCTCTTTTCCCCACCCCTGCTCATGCACCCATATGCTCTCTCCTTCTCTCTCAAAATAAATAAAAACTTTTAAAAAATATTTTTAAAAAATGATTTCTAGGGTCTACTTCAAAGTAATCTGCGGGGAGAGTGAGAAGAGTATGGGGGAAATAGATGAAACAAGACCAGCCATATGTTGATACTTATTGAAGCTGAGTGATTTTGCATATGCTTGAAATTTTAATAATAAAGATTTTAAATATTAGTGATTAAATATGCCACTAAAAATTAACCAAGGCAAATATATTTATTTTTATTTTTGCTATTATTTTTCTAGTTTATTATACTATGAACAGTACATACTAACACTATAGCTGGTTCTCTTTTTACAGTTACAATGTTTATTCTATTTTATTATTATTTTTTAAAGATTTTTTTTAAGGTTTATTTATTTAATTTTTTTGAGAGAACGCGTGTGTGAGCAGGGGATGGGCAGAGAGAGAGGAGACACAGAATCTGAAGCAGGCTCCAAGCTCTGAGCTGTCAGCACAGAGCCCAATGTGGGGCTCAAACTCACGAACTGTGAGATCATGACCTGAGCTGAAGTTGGATGCGTAACTGACTGAGTCACCCAAGTGCCCCTAAATATTTTGTCTTTAAGTAATCTCTACACCCAATGTGGGGCCCAAACCCATACCCCTGAGGTCAAGAGTCGCACGCTCTACCAACTGAGCCAGCTAGGTGCCCCTACAATGTTTAGTTTAACAAAAAGGATATAAGGAGAGTGAGAAAAATAGAAGGCAGTAAGATAAGATATAAAGTGTGGTGTATCTCTGGATGCCATTTACACTCAAGGTCGAAAAATACAGTGATTATGAATGTGCCATAACCAGTTATGGAATTTTACAATAACATAATTATAGTTAGCAGTCCAATGGCACATGCACTTGAGCATAACTGTATTTCTGGCAGAGTCTGTACCCCCAAGAAAAGGCAAAGCTAAGCATTTCAAGGCTTTTTCTCTTTGATGGTTGTGTTCTTTTTTCCTCAGAAGCAGATAAGTACATAGGGAAAAAACAATAGCCATGTAGGGGTGGTGGAGAGAAATAAAAGAACGTATAATTTGGAGATAATTACTACATATTATTTAATATTTTGGCACATATTTCAATTATTTTTCTAGGCATACACATATCTACATTTTTTTTAAGTTTATTTATTTATTTTGAGAGAGACAGAGACAGCGCAAGTCGGAGAGGGGCGGAGAGGGGCAGAGAGAAGAGACCGAGAATCCCAAGCAGGCCTGGCACTGTCAGCGCTGAGGAACCCAACTGTGAGATCATGGCCTGAGCCAAAACCAAAGGTCGGATGCTTAAATGACTGAGCCACCTAGGCGCCCCATACATACCTACATTTATATATGTACTTTCTTTTCCTAAAGAATCATACTATTACACCACTGAATTTCCAAAGTGTACCAATTTTTCCTTTACTATGCTTCAAATAAATAGAAAAAATAGTTATAATATTGATCTTCAACTTTGCCATTCATGCTTGATGCACATTAGGCTAGGTATTCCGTTTGAAAGCATGAGCGTATCTAGGCCTTTGAATGGCATATGCCATTTCTGGGAAATGTATCTGTAGGCTAAGCATTGCTTTCTACAAATAAGTACCCCCTTGGTTTAAAAAGAAGAAATGCATATTGAAGTCGTTTCACGATTTGATTTGTTTGCCATTATAGGAAGCAAGCTGGTGCTAAGTATTTTTAAATGATTAAGTAAGCAAGCTTAACAGTAAATCTTCCTTCAGGAATGTGTATTAAAATTTTGGAATGGGTGAAAGACTTGGTAGGGGGAAAAAGTGGGTATGACTAAATGGATCTTTATTGCCCTATGATCTATCCTTTCTTTGAAAGTTTCTGAAGAAAAAGTGGAAAGATCATTTTGTTACATTCCTCCATTCTTTTTTTTAAAAGAACAAGTCTCAAGTCCTATAAATGGCTTGTATTGAATTTTCACATTTGAATTAAAGACTGTTAAACATGAAAAAAAAAAACTATTAATACAGGTTTGTGACCAACATTTTTCCTCTTCTTTTGATATAAAGAGTATTCTACCAAGATGCTTTTAGAATCTGTGTACAGATAAACTGATATTCAGTTTATCCCTAATGTAGCATGCTCTGTGGACATTTTACTCTCTTCTCTCTGATGGATGTTTCATTTGAGCTTTCTTTACCTACCAGACAGCCATATTCTTTTCAGCCCTAGAGGACTTAATAGGAGAGTAATAATGGATTCAGCAGAGCAAGTAATACTCTAACTGGCATGCCTCATTTACATGAGGTATTCAAGCCACAGCCATGGCCTTTGGTCCAGATAAGAGACTAAAATGAAGCAGAGAATGGAAAAATCAGATGGGTGAAGACAAAATAATGAAGTCTGGGGTTTACTCAGATTTTTTTTTAGGATAACCACAGGATCAAGGGGAGAAGAACATACAAGAATTGATTAACAGTCACTAGTCAAGAGTGACAGAAAGATAACATAAAATAGGGGAAGAAGGCTAGTAATATTAGGTAACTAAATATGTGTTATTTGATATACTAAGAAATATATCATAACTAAGCTCATTTTTATTTATATAACAAACAAATCTATTTCAAACATCCAAATAAGAGTGTTTTTTATTCCAAGAAAGGAAATAAAACAAACTTCTTAAATAAGTTATTTGTAGTTAAATAACATAGTAGAACCCCATCCATAATAGTGCCTATTTGAGAACAAGTTCTTAGGTGTTAAATGTAATGTTAATAGTCACTGTTTACTGAGTGCTTACTATGGTGTCAGGCAATGTGCTAAATAAGCATTTAACTATATTATGTCATTTAAATCTAGTAAAATTTATAAGTTGTTATTAGGTCCATTTTATGTATATGAAAGTTCAGATTTAGAGGGGTACTTGGCTGGCTCAGTTGGAAGAGCAAGCAACTCTTGATCTCAGGGTTGTAAGTTTCAGCCCCATGTTGGGTATAGAGATTACTTAAATAAATAACAATTAAAAAAAAAACAAGAAAATTAAGATTTAGAGAGCTTAATGGACTGTCCAAAGATATGCATCTAGTCTGTGGCAAAGCTGATATTTGAAACAGGTCCAGTTACAAAGACTATGATGATAATTATTACACTATAATGTTTCTAAAGCCTGTATTATAAGGTGAATAAAAATAATACTCATCAATTAGGTAGTAAGGTCACATGATTGGACTCATACTATTAACAATTCTGAGTAGAGGGGCAGGGCTGGGGGGATGGGTTAAATAGGTGATGGGGAGGGGCACCTGGGTGGCTCAGCTGGTTAAGTGTCCAACTTCAGCTCAGGTCATGATCTCGTGGTTCATGAGTTCGAGCCCCACGTTGGGCTCTGTGCATGGAGTCTGGAGCCTGCTTTGAGTTCTGTGTCTCCCTCTCTCTCTGCCCCTCCCCCACTCATGCTCTGTCTCTCTCTCTCTCTCTCTCTCTCTCTCTCTCAAAAATAAACATTAAAAAAAATTTTTTTAAATAGGTGATGGAGATCATATGGATATATGGAATTGTTGTCTGAAATAAAAACTTAAATTCAGAGTAGACGTGCCTATTTATAAAAGTAATTCTACTGAATTTTCTTATTCCTAGCACAATATTACTAAGGGCCACACTTCTTCCTGAGCTGAGCCTTCCTATATTGCATCACCTGAGACTTTCTGCCTTTTCAAGGTGATAAATAGATAATACACTCTGAGATTATGGATAAGCAGTATGGTACAGTGGAAAAAACACTAAAGCTGGGATCAGAAGATCTGAGATCTCAGCTCTAGTGCTGGTTCCAATATTTCCTAACCAAGGGGTCCTGGACAATTCATTTAACTTTTTTCTCTGATTACTCACCTGATCTAACTAAATAAAAAAATAACAAAACAAAAGGTAATAAAGTCCATTCTGCTCTCTGCAGAAGATGGTTGTAACGATCCAATGAGATGTGACATGAGATACCTTGTAAACATAAATGGTATTACTCATTTAAGAGAACCAGAGGAATAAAAAAACAAAAACAAAAGAGAGAGACAGAAAGAGAGAAAGAGAAAACCAGAAGAAGTGGTCTCCCATGTGAAGCTCTTATTCTTTTCTACTGCAAGACATACACACAGGGTAACAAATAACCACCTGGAGATAAATGTCATATCCAATATAGAAAAATGAAGAAATGATGGAAAATTGAGAACAGATAGGAAGAGCAGCACACTATGGGACACATATTTTTGGGCCAACCAAAAACTTGTAGCATTAACCAAAAAACCACTTTAATCAAAAACATCCACTTACACAATCGGATTTATGCATTAAATAATGAGCTCTAACAGTTTTCACTTCTATGACGTTAGCAATTTCTCCTGCACTTTATCAACACACTAAAATTTTGTAAGAGAAAAGATAATTTGGTTAATACCTTATTCCAGCCGCTGGCATGAACTGTGGTCTCCAGTGTACATTCCCGATATGCCTGATATGTCACTGGCCTGTAGAGATTTTTTTTTAAAAGTCTGGGTCACAAAGAAGGAAAATTCTAAATTTCCAGATGAATAAATATACAATCACTATTCTGCTGTTGAACTTTTTGCTAAAGTACCCAAGAATATATTCCACATATTGTTTTGTATGAGATGTGGCTTTTAACATTTGGTATGCATTTCTCTTCAATCACTCCCTATAGGCTGAGAGGTACGCTACCAGCTTGGGAAAGCAGTTAACAACACAGCAAGATAAACAATCACACTTTTAAAATAATTGAAACTTATCCAACAGGATTTCCATGTTGCAGATAAACAAACACTTGGGTTATTAAAATAAGATCAAATAGTAACAAAATGATCTCATTAATAAAATTAAAAGCACAAATTTAACTTTTTTAAAGGCAAAAAATTTAAAACACTTAAAAATTAAAGACACATGTCACTGAAAGACTTCTCCAATTGAGGATATAAGGAGTTGGAATAAACTAGGGCAGTAAATGGAGCTCTATTTTTAACTTGGAGTCTTATGACATAAAAACCTGGAGGGCAGAGATAAGCCTTTCTGATTATTTCCATGTAACTTCTAGTCATACCAAAATCTCAAATCACTGAAGGATGACAACACTCACTAATTTATTGAGGGTTTTAGGCACTATGTGTAAGACATGGTTGGTTTCATGTACAAATTAACAACAACAAAAATACTTGTTACCAAGTAGCATATGAAAGCATCAATAGCTTGAATATTAGATTTAATAAAATTTACCTCCCCAACTTTTGTGGGCAAAGTATTAACATATATGTAAAAAAAGGAGAGGAATCTTGCTTTTTATAGGATTTTGAAATCCATTCCAAAGGCATTTCTACTCTGAATCTGGTCTGTGATCTCTTCAGCCTAAGAATATTTAAAATTGATGATAGCTACCACTTATTGGTAGCCTACTGTTCAGTTTTATATTTTTATATGTTTATATTTTATATTACCTATTATCATTTTACACATTAGGAAATTGAAGCTCAGAAAAGCGAAGAGACTATCCCCAATCCACACAGCTGGCAAGCAGCAATGTAGGAATTCACACCCAGCTAGCTCTGGGTCCAAAGGCCACACTATTCGTATTCTAATTAGGATTGTGACACATGACACAATGATGTCTAGACACTACATACAGCTAATGACCATTTGAAATGTGGCTAGTGACTGGGGCACCTGGGTGGCTCAGTTGGTTAAGTGTCTGACTTCAGCTCAGGTCATGATCTCACGGTTTGTGGTTTCGAGTCCCACATAGGGCTCTGTGCTACAGCTCAGAGCCTGGAGCCTGCTTTGGGTTCTGTGTCTCCCTCTCTCTCTCTCTCTGCCCCTCCCCCACTTGTGCTCTGTCTCTGTCTCTCAAAAATAAATAAATGTAAAAAAAATTTTTTTTAATTTGAAATGTGGCTACTGATGTATTGAAAATGCAATATGCACACTAGATTTCTAAGACTTAGTAAGGAAAAAAGAATGTAAAATAGCTCATTAATATTTTTATATTGAGTACATGTTAAAACTAATATTTTGAATATATTGGGTTAAATAAAATATATTAAAAATCTCAATTTTTAATATGGTTGCTAGAAAACTTTAAATTACATATATGTGATTTGCATTGTATCTATTGTACAGTGCTGGTCTACATACTTCAGAAAATAGTTCTGATGACACAGGTATCATTCTTTTATACAAGTCAATATCAAATTAATACTACAGTGATGCTGCAAGGAGGTAAGATGCATGGGTGACCTCTTTAATAAGATGTTATGTACTACCTTCCTGATATTACATTACCATTAAAGTAAGCTTAGAATTTTTTAGAAGCCCTACACTAAATACCAGGTAGTTATAAAACTTGAACTTGAACTTGATAGTTATAAAACTTGAACTTGATAGTCTACCTACCTATATTCTCCCTGAAGCTTTACTTGTGTATATCAGTCCCTTCACTTCCTTTCCTGAGCTGTTTGAGGCTGCTGTGGGTCACAGTAGTCCTTATTGGTAGTTTGTCTATCAGGCTAGAGTACTTTAGCATCCTTCAGAATGAAACATGATTTGAATCATTATATGTACACACATATATGCACATAAAAGATCCAGCAGATTAAAATATTCAGAGAAAATTTAATACATAGAAAAGCAAGTAGCTGAAAAATCAGCCCTATCTGATGAGCTATTTGAACAGAGCAAAGAAGAAAAAGGGGCAGGAGGAAACCTTTTCAAAATGCTGGTGCTTGACTCTACGAAGCGTTCTGGATTAACTTCCTACTTGAACAAAACTGTTTGGAGTAGGTGGTATTTTCCACCTTAAATATTATTCTCACCAACCTGTTTAGTACTTCTAGTCCATCATCAATTAGCTATTTTTAAGGTATTAGTAACAGAGCTTAACAACTTTCAAGAGTAAATTACTGAAAAAAATTTATTCATAAAGAAGCCAGACTCTGATTGGTACCAGAGGTACCGATTTAAAAAATAATTATGTCAAGGGCGCCTGGCTGGCTCAATCAGTGGAACGTGTAACTCTTTATCTCAGGGTTGTGAGTTAGAGCCCCACATTGGGTGTAGAGATTACTTAAAAATAAAATCGTAAAACAAACAAATAAATAATTATTTCAGTATTCAGGGTTTGGGCGAAAAAAAATCAAGTATTCACCTAAATGTGTATTTTAAAATATAATCTACTTTGCAGTGAGAAGATATCAGTATTTCCTCTAGATTATGAAAAGGATGCCAAAAAAAAAAAAAAACTTTACCTATATAACACTATTCTTCAGAGTGTTTATAATATCCCAGTAAAGTTGAAATTAATAGGTGGGGAAATTTAGACGTAGAAAGAAATGGTTTTCTTAAAACCACTAATAGTTTATATCCAAGCTAGAAATACGTTTTCCCCTTCTACTACTCAGTTATTTTACTCCACATCCCAAAAGCTTCTAAAAATTGTTTTGTTTTTGTCAAAACAGTAGGTTTCTTCAAATCTTACATTAACCCTTGATATATAAAATACATGAAAAGATAGCTATTCTGGTTTAAGAAGCAGGAGAAGGCCTAACAAGTTCCACCCACTCACCCCATCCCTTACCTTCTCAGGGCCCCTAAAGGCTCCACAGAACACTCTAAAAGCTACTGCTGTCCATCCAAATTTCCTATCTATTTTCTGACACCCATTCTCTTCACATTTATATAAAATTAAGAAAATCCAAACATGATTTTCATTTCAGTGTCCTACACGTAATTTGGATTTTTACATTTGCTCACGTCACCAGAATATGCAGAAACAAACTGAATTTTCCTTAAATGCAAAGTGCTTCCTTCTAATAAACAGTAACACACAAAGTTTGCCTACGTGAAAATAAGGAATTACCTTATAACAGTAATTTAGCATCTGAATTTTGACCCTTTTAGTGAAGAAACCAGTCTTCATCCTGTTTTAGATATCATTCTTCACTAAAACAAATGTTTTCTAATTCATACCAATTCCTTAATGATTCTCAGCAAAAATTAGAGGAAAAGAAATTTTGAGATTTACAATAAATGACTTGGTTCTATTTTAATATACTTTCACTAGGAGCTTCTTGCCTTTAGCTTTAATGATCAAAACCATAGTAGAGAAGTTCCCACTATAAAAACGTGGCAGTAGTTCCATGGACAAGCCCAAAGTTTAGCCACATTTGGGATACCTAAAATACTGATATGATGCTAACCCCATATTACAATGCATAAAGCCCTAACCCTTACATTTATGTTGGCCTCTAGACAGAATGGTAGTAAAAAGTGGTCAGGACAAGTGAAATAGCTTATATTTATATTTACAAAGCACTTAAAGCATTTGTTGAAACCTGACAGGTCAACAAGGAAACACAAATGATCAATCAACTGTTCCATGCTGGAACAGTTAAATTACCACTTTGATGTAAAAGTTGTCACTCAAAACACAGAGATGCTTTAGGAAAGCAAAAGAAAGAAAAAGTGAAGAAAAGTAGAAGAAGGGACACTGTTCATCTAAAACAAAGCCTTAACCAATCCAGTGCTGCCTGAGAGATCCAGAGACTACTTAGAGAACCACCTTTCCCCTCAGCAAGGGTAACTCACTGGCTGAGGAGCATCTGCAATGCCTTTTGTAGAGGCTCTTTCAGTTCCTGCGATACTTTTTCTCCAAGATGAGCCAAGCAGTCTTCCACTGAGCTTTCTGGGTTAGCAGGGCTGAACACGGGAGAAGTATGACGGTCAAAGCCTGTGCTGGTAAAGGCTGAAGACAGGGTAAAAGAAAAATCAATTTTAATACATAATATCAAAAGTTGTGCTACAGGGGGGGTACCTGGGTGGCTCAGTCAGTTAAACATCCAACTCTTGATCTCAGCTCAGGTCATGATCTCACAGTTCCTAACATCAAGCCCTGAGTCAGGCTCTGCGCTGACAGCCAGGTCATGATCTCACAGTTCATAACATCAAGCCCTGAGTCAGGCTCTGCGCTGACAGCACGGAGCCTGCTTGGGATTTTCTCTCTCCCTCTCCCCCTTCTCTGCTTGCTTGCTCGCTCGCTCATGCTCTCTCTCTCAAGATAAATAAATATTTAAAAAAAATTTTAAAGGAAAGATTTTTATGGAAAATCTTAGTTTTAGGAGAAAAAAAAGACTAAACTGACATGCTAAAATACACAAGCCAATTTAGTATGTTACTACATACCAATTTCAAGTAAGAATGATAAATGAAAGGCAACTCCTAGCTCTATCATCCCACTTTGTATGTTTTTTTTTTTTTAATGTTTCTTTATTTTTGAGAGACAGAGGGAGACAGAGCATGAGTGGGGAAGGGGCAGAGAGAGAGAGAGAGGGAGACACAGAAACCGAAGGAGGCTCCAGGCTCTGAGCTATGAGCATAGAGCCTGATGTGGGGCTCAAACTCACAAGCTGTGAGATCATGACCTGAGCTGAAGTCAGATGCTTACCCGACTGAGCCACCCAGGTGCCCCTCACCTTATATGTTGTTTTTAAGATTTTGTTTTTATCTTTATAAATGTGGCACCTATTTTTTTTTTAAGTTTATTTATTTTGAGAGAGAGAGGGCACATGGGGATGGGGGTGGTGGGCAAAGAGAGAAGGAGAGAGAGAATCTCAAGCCCCTGGTGTGGGGCTCCAGAGGCCAATGTGGGGCTCCAACTCACAAACCATGACATCATGACCTGAGCTGAAAAGTCAGTCACCCAGCCAACTGAACTACCCAGGCGCCCCAAAATGTGGCACTTCTTAAATCAGACTCTAATCAGCTTACTCTACCTTACAGGATGAGTCAATTACTTTCATCCCTTTTTTAATTTTTTATTATTATTTTTAATGTTTATTTATTTTTGAGAGAGAGCAAGAGCACAAGGGAGGTAGAGAGAGAGTGGGGGAGACAGAGGATCCGAAGCAGGCTCTGCACTGACAGGAGAGAGCCCAATCTGGGGCTCAAACTCATGAACCATGAGATCACGCCTTGAGCTGAAATCGAAAGCTTAACCTACTGTACTACCTGGTGCTCCTCATTCCTTGTTTTCAAAGTTTTTTATTTTAATTCCAGTAGAGTTAACATACAGAGTTATATTAGTTTCAGGTATACAATACAGTGATTCAACAATTCTAGAACTTTCATTCCCTTTTGGGTTTTTTTGTTTTTTGTTTTTTGTTTTTTGAGAGAAAGAGACAGCACGTGCATGTGAGAAAGAGAGGGGCAGAGGAAGAGAGAAAAAGAGAGAGAAAATCTTAAGCAGGCTCTGCTGAACCACCAGGCGGCCTTCATTTCCTTGTTAAAATGAACTTTCAAACTCAATATTCCTGCATGTGGATAAATTTTAAAACTGCAAGTGATACAAGTACACGAGTTGCACATAAAAGAAGCAATCACAGCTTCTCTCTCCTCAGCTCAAACTACTAGCTTCTCATCGGTTTCCATGTTATACTGCCATACTCTAATAACTAGAGGAAGAACAAGCAGAATTATGGTTGCTCCAAGGTACAAATGGGATACAGAGCAGAAAATCCCAGGAAAGCAAGCAGCTAGCACCCATTCCCAAAAGTTACTAATAACCTCCATAATGTATTCACTGCATTAATCTAAGGCTTGCACCCAGAAGGCGGCAAATTTTACTAAACTACATACTTCTTTATAAAGTACTTGCCTTCATGGAAGATGTAAATGGCTGCAAAGTTCCCAATAATTCTGATGTGTGAGCAAACTTGAGAGCATCCATTTTAATAATTGGTCTAGGATAATATGGGGCTTCGGTAAGTGAATGCATGTAACTTTGTTGTTTTCTTCCTTTCTGCCTTCTGCCTATTTTACCATGCATAAGCACTTGTTACCAGAAGTGGACAAAGGCTTAACATTGTTTTGGAACTTTAACCATTCAAAAATGCTGGTAAAGGAAAATAAAAAGACTAAAATTAAGTTTCTGGAATATTTGGGGGTGCCTGAGTGTCTCAGTCGGTTAAGCGTCTATCTTTTTGGCTTAGGTCCTGGTCTTGTGGCTCCTGGATTCAAGCTCCGTATCGGGCTGTGCTGACAGCACTGGGCCTGCTTGGGATTCTCTCTCTCCTCTCTCTCCTTTCTCCTCTCTTCACCCCTACCCTGCTTGTGCTCTTTCTCTCTCAAAATAAATAAACTTTAAAAATTAAAAAAAAAGTTTCTGAAATATTTGAATTTCTATTCATATTCTTTCTCTAACAGAGAACTAGTTCATAAATTTATCTTTCAACTAACAGGGAACCAATTTATAAACATGATTTATAATAATTTTTCTTGTTAAAAATTACTGGGCAATATACATCCACATAAAAACTTGTCCAAGAATACTCACAGCAGCATTATACATAATATATAAAAGTAGAAACAACCTAAATGTCCATCAACTGATGAATGGATAAACAAAATGTGGTATATTCACACACTGTAAAATGGAATGAAGTACTGTTACATGCTACCACATGGATAAGCCTTGAAAACACTATGCTAAGTGAAAGAAGCCAGCCACAAAAGACTACATAGTGTATGATTCCATTTATGTGTATATCCATAATAGGCAAACAAATATAGAGACAGAAAGCAAATCAGTGCTTGCCATGGGCAGGGATGAGGGCAAGGACTGGTGAGAGCAGAAATGGGAAGTGACCATTAATAGGTACAGTGTTTCTTTTTGGGATGTGAAAAATGTTCTATTTTGATTGTGGTAATGATTATATAATTCTACGAATATATTAAAACCCACTGAACTGTACATTTTTTTTAAGAGTAAAAAAATAATTTTCTTTAATGTTTATTTTTGAAGGAGAGAGAGACAGAGAGCAAGCAGGTGAGGGGCAGAGAGAGCAGGAGACACAGAATCTGAAGCAGGCTCCAAGCTCCACGCTGTCAGCACTGAGCCCGACATGGGGCTTGAACTCACAAACCGTGAGATCGTGACCTGAGCCGAAGTCAGACACTCAACAAACTGAGCCACCCAGGTGTCCCCATCTTATTTTATTTTTTAAAGATTTTAAGTAATCTTTATATCTGACATGGGGTTCGAACTCACAACTCCAAGATCAAGAGTCGCACACTCCACCGACTGAGCCAGCCAGGCACTCCTGAACTGTACATTTTACATGGGTACATTTAAATATACCCATACCAAAAGTACTGCCTACAAGCTATTATCATGCAGTAAAAGGAAAAGAAGGTCTTAGTCTGTGGTACAGAATGGAGACAGAGGGGAAGAGCTCTGAAAGAGAAAATTGGACCAGATCTTTACAATTTACTAATTTTAACATTTAAATATATGGGTAAACTTAATATAAAACTGTACCAAAAAATCATTGGGCAAGATGTTCAATGCAATTAATTATGGAAAGCAAATTAAGAAAAAACCCAAATGTTCCCTCAATTATAAGGAAATGATTAGCTAAATATTCATTCAATGTATGGAATTTCATGCAGTTAGTAGAATAACTGGTTTTTTAATTATTTTATTTTATTATTATTATTTTTTCAATGTTTTTATTTATTTTTGAGACAGAGAGAGACAGAGCATGAGCAAGGGAGAGGCAGAAAGAGAGGGAGACACAGAATCCGAAGCAGGCTCCAGGCTCTGAGCTGTCAGCACAGAGCCTGACGCGGGGCTTGAACTCACAGACTGTGAGATCATGACCTGAGCTGAAGTCAGATGCTCAACCGACTGAGCCACCCAGGCGCCCCTATTTTTTTTTTTTTTTTTTAAGTAAGCTCTACACCCAACATGGGGCTTGAACTCACAACCCTGAGATCAAGAGTCAAATGCTCTAGGGGCACCTGGGTGGTTCAGTTGGTTAAGAGTCCAACTTTGGCCCAGGTCATGATCTCATGGTTCGTGAGTTCAAGCCCCGCATTGGGCTCTGTGCTGACAGCTCAAACCTAGAGCCTGCTTCAGATTCTGTGTCTCCCTCTCTCTCTGCCCCTCCCCAGCTCACACTGGCTCTCACTGTCAAAAATAAATTTAAAAACTTAAAAAAAAACTTAAGAAAAAAAAAGAGTCAAATGCTCTACCAAGCCAGCCAGGTAACCAGAATAACTATTTTTAAAGTTTATGGTATAATATTAAGTACAAGATATGTGGCTACAAAATTATATGCATATTACTATTACAACTATCTATAGCATACATACATGCAGACATAGAAGCAACTTACTTACATTTTCCCCTTTAATGTTGTTATTAACTATAAAAATACCAAATACAAATCAAACTACATTAAATGACTGTTTATTGGTTAACAACAGAAAAGGCTGTCAGGTATGGTTTGGAAACATTTATAAACCTATCCTCCAGGAAAGAAAAAGGATACCTTCTAGTTTCACCCTTATAATTCTATTCCAATGTTCTACTGTAAAATATCAAACCAACAGTAAATCAACCACACCAAACTGAGTCTACTAATTAACTAGGAAAATAAGAATAAACAGACCTTCAGAAATTTCCTTGTCCAGGGATTCTAGCTCTTCTTCAATTTCAGTTTTAATTTTTAATAAAACTTCTTGATCCAGAGATTGTGAAGCTACGAGAGAGAGAGAGAGAGAGAGAGAGAGAGAGAGAGAGAGAGAGAAAGAGAGAGAGAGAGAGAGAGAGAGAGAGAGAGAGAGAAGCAATAAGAATATGGGTAGTATTTTAACTATTTAACTTAGAAAATACAAATCAAAGGTCATTATCAAGGCTACTGGTCTAGAAGATATTTAAATTTAAAGATGAGGAAATTGAGGCTTGGGTAGGTTAGACCACCCATGATGGAGGAGCTGTTAATTGAACTCAGGTCAGTATGAATATAAAATCATTAATCTGGGCTGTGTCCTCCTCATCTTCTGGTTGGGAAGCTAGGAAGGAAATATCTCAGAAACCTTGTTGACATAATAATACAAAAGGAAACCCAAAAAGTTGTCTAAATAAGTGATAAATGCCTTCTAACATTGATATTCGTGGTCCTTTATCTTCACATCTTCATGCAAACTACAGCCCAAAAGAAGGCCCATTATCTTCCAAAGAGAATACAGCCTCCAACTTAACTATGAATATACCAAAAGTACTGCCTACAAGGTATTATCATGCAGTAAAAGGAAAAGAAGGTCTTGGTCTGTGACACAGAATGGAGACAAAGGGGAAGAGCTCTGAAGGAGAAAATTACACCAGATGCTTTACAATTTACTAATTTCTCCTGACTCGGGTATTTGGAGCAGAGACTTATCATTTTGTCTAAAGCACTGAATCCAAATATGACACCCCACACCTCCCATTCAGAATATATTATAGATATATTTCCAGGACATTTTCAATTGTTTCTATCACTATTTTCTACCATTGACAAGTTTTAGAAAGATGGATTTGCCATTTATTACCTGCACTGATAACATAGCCTGCTTGGGATTCTTTCTCTCCCTCTCTCTTTCCCTCCCCAGCTCTCTTTCTCTCTCTCTCTCAAAATAAATAAACATTTAAAAAAAAATTTATTCCTGCTCCTGCTCAGTATGAACTCAACTGCCAATTTCTTCACTAACAAAAAGGACATAACGTGCTACATTTCTACCTAACCCAGACTGCCCTCCTTCTTCCGGATTACTCAAATTCTGTCAAGGACCAATTTAAGCCTCTGTACTTCTCTACAACATCTTGTTCAATGATTACTACTGCATTGCTGACATTTGCACATTTATATAGTTTCGTCTGTGCCACATAGTTTAACACTTAAGTACATATTTTTTTATACTGTTCAATGAGTTTATAGTTTATTACCATTCTGACCACATTACAAACTATTTGAGATACTCCCTTAGTCGTAGATTTGTCAAGCAAGGACTAAAAAGTACTCAAATAAGGGGCACCTGGGTGGCTCAGTTGGTTCAGCGTCCGACTCTTGATCCCGGCTCAGGTCATGAGCTCACAGTTCATGGGATCAAGACCTAAGTTGGGCTCTGCACTGACAGAGTCAGTGCTCGGGCTTCTCTCTCTGTCCCTCCCCTGCTTATGTGGGCTCTCTAAATATAAATAAGCTTTGGTTTTTTTAAATTTCTTTTTAATGTTTATTTTTGAGAAAGAGCATGAGCAGGGGGAGGGGCAGAGAGAGAGACAGACAGACAGAATCTGAAGCAGGCTCTGTGCTGACAGCTCAGAGCCTGATGTGGGGCTTGAACCCAGAGAACGCAAGATCATGACCTGAGCCGAAATCAGATGCCCAACTGACTGAGCCACCCAGGCACCCCTAAATAAAACTTTTTTTAAAAATGTTGTGTGCAAAATGTCTGGTGCTCAGCAAGCTCTCAACATTTAATAAAAGTTATAATAGGGGCACCTGGGTGGCTCATGTGTATAAATGACAACATTGTTGGCAAGAGAAGATGCTTACGAAAAAATAAAACAAAGTGGCACATAGGTGGCTCAGTTGGTTAAGCGTCCAACCCCTGATTTCAGCTCAGGTCATAGTCTCACGGTTCATGAGATCAGGCCCCACGTAGGGCTCTGTGCTGACAGTTTGGAGCCTGCTTGGGATTCCCTCTCTCCCTCTCTCTCTCTCTGCCCCTCCCCTGATCTTGCTCTCTGCCTCAAAATAAATAATCTTTATTAAAAAAAAAAAAAAAAAGGAAAAACAAAATTAAACAAAAATTAAAGTTATTTTTAAATTACAGAAATTTAGGGGTGACTGGGTGGCTCAGTTGGCTAAGTGTCCGACTCTTGCTTTCAGCTCAGGTCATGATCTCACAGTTGTGAGATCGAGCCCCGCATGGGGATTCTCTCCTTCTCCCTCTCTCTGCCCCTCCCCTGCTCTTTCAAAATAAATAAGTAAAAACTTAAAAACAAATCAGTATATTACAGGAATTTAAAAAGTTATCAGTATATTTTAAGGCTAGCTCAAATGACAAAAGAGAAATGAAATGAGAAGTCGTTTTGGGTTGCCTGGGTAGCTCAGTCAGTTAAGCAACAAACTTCGGCTCAAGTCATGATCTCACAGTTTGTGGGTTCAAGGCTCCCCCTCCCCCTTCACTAGGCTCTGTGCTGACAGCTCAGAGCCTAGAGCTTGCTTTGGATTCTGTGTCCCCCTCACCCCCCAACCCTCCCCGACTCACACTCTATCTCTCTCAAAAATAAATAAACATTAAAAACATGTTTTGAAAGTCATTTTATGTAAGACAGTAAGAGTACAGAGCCATTTATTTATGGTGATAGAATTATGATAAGACAACATTATGAAAGAGGAATGGAAAGAATAAGACCTTGGGGTGCCTAGGTAGCTATCAGTTGAGCGTCTGACTCTTGATTTCAGCTCAAGTCATGATCTCACAGTTCATGGGCTTGAGCCCTACAATGTGCTCCTCGCTGATAGCTTGGAGCCAGCTTGGGATTCTCTCTCCCTTTCTCTGCCCCTCCCCTACTTGTGCACATGCTCACTTGCTCTCTCTCTCAAAATAAGTAAATAAACTTAAAAAAAACAATAAGACCTCAACTATTATCTCCATGTTTATGAAGAGGTTTAGTCAATGCCTGAATTATTTAATTTTAGATTTGAAAGGATCTGTAAAATAAAGGCCATCTAATCCATCTTTCTCATTATATAAATATGGGACTTAGAGTAATTGAAAAGATTCACCCTAAAATAAATCATATAAAAACAACATTAGCAAGTAGATCTTTTGGGGGTACCTGGCTGGCTCAGTCCATGGAGCATGTGACTCTTGATCTCAGGGTTGTGAGTTTAAGCCCCACAATGGGTGCAGAGATTACTTAAAAATAAAAATCTTTAAGAACGTACATCTGACAAGTAAAATTATTACTGAATTCTAAAACATGATAAATTTTTATGTACAGTGAAAAATAAGGAATACATGAATGTTTTATCTGCCATCTGCTTCCTTTTGGAAAATCAACATACCTAAAACATACACACACCCACATACCCAATCACACCACCACCAATACTACCACCATGCCACAAAGTAAAAGACAATAATGTCTTGGTTACCATATGCCTCACCTGCCAGATTAAAGAAAAGCAGCTGATTAAAGGAGTGTCTATTCTCATGAGACTAATGTGATGCTGATTACACACGACAAGTTGTCATACTTGATAATAAGTCATGTGGAAAACCTAAACCAGAAAAAGTCTACTGCCATCAGGACACAAAAGGCTATTTATTTAGCTAACCAATGACACAGACAGATTCAGTGATTTTCATTTAATCAACCCCCCCCCCAACCCAGACTTTCAAAAGCATAGAGCTATGCAGTAGCAGCAATGCAGTATAAATCCTCCACTACAAACCCAGAGAAAAATATTTCAAAGATAAACAGACTTTAGCACACCAAATCCCACCCACTTCAGTGTCAAACGAAGAGTCAAGTGAGTCAGCAATCATCGTATTCCAGCCCTGAAATACACTCAGGGCTTTCAAAATGAGTATCAGGTCAACAAGTTTAGAAGAGTTGTATGGGCAGAGCAAAATACTTTCTAAATCTGTGGGCCCCCAAACTGGACACACATTAAAATTACTGAGTGAATATATTAAAAATACAGATTCTCAGGGCACCTGGGTGGCTCAGTCGGTTGGGCCTCTGACTTCGGCTCAGGTCATGATCTCACGGCTCGTGGGTTTGAGCCCCATGTTAGGCTCTGTGCTGACCACTTGCTCAGCCTGGAGGCTGCTTCAGATTCTGTATCTCCTTCTTTCTCTGCCCCTCCCTTGCTCACACTCTGTTTCACTCTGTCTCTCAAAAATAAATAAATGTAAAAAAAAAAAAGATTATTAAGCCCCATCATGGAACATCTGGTGGGTCCAGGGTAAAGGCTCATGATTTTCTTTTTAAAGACTTTTTTGGGGGTGTGGGGCAGCATCTGGGTGGCTCCATTGGTTAAGTATCTGACTTCAGTTCAGGTCATGATTTCACGGTTCATGAGTCTGAGCCCCACATTGGGCTCTGTGCTGACAGTGCAGAGCCTGCTTGGGATTCTCATTCATTCATTCTCTCTCTCTCTGTCTCTGTCTCTCTGTCTCTCTCTCTCTCCCCCACCCTCCACTCACACACTCTATCTCAAAATAAATTTTAAAAAAACTTAAAAAAAAAGATTTAAAATAAAGATTTTTTTTTCTTTCTTTCTTTCTTTTTTTTTTTTTTTTTTGGTTTATTTCTTTGAGAGAGAGAGTGCTTGCATGCTGGGGGCAGGGCAGAGAAAGAGACTCCCGAGCAGGCTCCATGCCATCAGTGCAGAGCCCAATGCAGAGCTTGATTCCACAAACAGTGAGATCATGACCTGAGCCGAAATCAAGAGTTGGATGCTTAACCAAGCCAGCTATGCACTCAAGATCTTTTTTTTTTTTTTTTTTAAGTAATCTCTACATCCAACGTGGGGCTGGAACTTATAACCCCGAGATCAAGAGTCGCATGCTCTACCAACTGAGCCAGCCAGGCATGCCATGATCTTTTCTTCAAAAGCATTCAGGCAATTAGTCTTGACAAATACTGCTCTTAAAAACTCATATAATCAAATTAAAAACATCTGCTAAATATATTGAGAAC